GTGGACATAGTGTACTTAGATTTCCAGAAAGCCTTTGACAAGGTCCCTCACCAAAGGCTCTTACGTAAATTAAGCTGTCATGGGATAAAAGGGAAGGTCCTTTCATGGATTGAGAACTGGTTAAAAGACAGGGAACAAAGGGTAGGAATGGTAAATTCTCAGAATGGAGAGGGGTAACTAGTGGTGTTCCCCAAGGGTCACTCCTCGGACCGATCCTATTCAACTTATTCATAAATGATCTGGAGAAAGGGCTAAACAGTGAGGTGGCAAAGTTTGCAGATGATACTAAACTGCTCAAGATAGTTAAGACCAAAGCAGACTGTGACAAACTTCAAAAAGATCTCACAAAACTAAGTGATTGGGCAACAAAATGGCAAATGAAATTTAATGTGGATAAATGTAAAGTAATGCACATTGGAAAAAATAACCCCAACTATACATACAATATGATGGGGGCTAATTTAGTTACAACAAATCAGGAAAAAGATCTTGGAGTCATCGTGGATAGTTCTCTGAAGATGTCCATGCAGTGTGCAGAGGCAGTCAAAAAAGCAAACAGGATGTTAGGAATCATTAAAAAGGGGATAGAGAATAAGACTGAGAATATATTATTGCCCTTATATAAATCGATGGTACGCCCACATCTCGAATACTGTGTACAGATGTGGTCTCCTCATCTCAAAAAAGATATACTGGCACTAGAAAAGGTTCAGTAAAGGGCAACTAAAATGATTAGGGGTTTGGAACAGGTCCCATATGAGGAGAGATTAAAGAGGCTAGGACTCTTCAGCTTGGAAAAGAGGAGACTAAGGGGGGCTATGATAGTGGTATATAAAATCATGAGTGAGGTGGAGAAAGTGGATAAGGAAAAGTTATTTACTTACTCCCATAATACAAGAACTAGGGGTCACCAAATGAAGTTAATAGGCAGCAGGTTTAAAACAAATAAAAGGAAGTTCTTCTTCACCCAGCGCACAGTCAACTTGTGGAACTCCTTACCTGAGGAGGTTGTGAAGGCTAGGACTATAACAGCGTTTAAAAGAGAACTGGAATACATTCATGGTGGTTAAGTCCATTAATGGCTATTAGCCAGGATGGGTAAGGAATGGTGTCCCTAGCCTCTGTTTGTCAGAGGGTGGAGATGGATGGCAGGAGAGAGATCCCTTGATCATTGGCTGTTCGATTCACTACCTCTGGGGCACTTGGCATTGGCCGCTGTCGGTAGACAGGATACTGGGCTAGATGGACCTTTGGTCTGACCCGGTACGGCCATTCTTATGTTCTTATGTAACTCCATGAATTTTAATGGGTTAAAATCAATAGCATTTTATTTTCATTTCTTAAAGTAATCAATCAAAACTGTTGAATTAAAACAGCAGCCCAGCTGTAGTACAATGCAACCCCCACGGTGCCAGTGACTTAACCAACTAATTTCTAGACAGCAGAAGAATGGTACGAATCAGGATTCCTGGGTTCTCTTCCTGGTTCTGGAAGGAAGTGTGCTGTAGTGATTACTCACAGTACAAACAAGCACCCTCATTTTGCAAATTCGGGCCTGTCACGTTAGAAACAGAGAAAGTTCTATTCCCAGTTCTGCTAGTGATGACCTTGTGCAACTCATCAGTCTCCTTATACCTTCTGTAAAATAGGGGGAATAATACTTGTCTGCCTCCTAAAATAGGGCTATGAGGTCTTACTCAATAATATGTGCTGTGAAGTACACACAATTATTTAGTCAGAAAAAGAGCTGAGACAACCAGGCCATGTTTTCAGGCTTCTGTGGTTATGATTCTTATTAAATGGAAGCAGAGCTCAGGTAATTACATAGCAGGGGTTTAAATAAGAGCATCAGATCTCACCAGCAATTGCTGAGAGTTGGCAACAATGCCTGTAAACAGCTTCTCCCTGGTGATTCACTCTTTGCCCACCCCCTCATCTGCCCTGGTGAAACACTTCAGACCTGTGTTGAAAATAATTTTTGGCCAGTGGCACCAGTTTCAAGAGTGAGTGCCGAAAAACTGTGATTTTTGGATACCTACATAAAACTCAAAAATTGTTAAAAATAAACACTGAAAAATGAAATTAATAACCCCCCAGAATGCAAGCCTTAATTAAGATACAGTCTTGCCTAATATTAAAGGAAGTCTGTTACAGAGACAAGAATAGAATTCAGCTCTCCTGAGTCCCAATCTATTACTTTAAACACAATCCATTTTCTTCTTATATCCATCTGTCCATCCTGTACACTAAAAGAGGCAGGACTCCTGGAAAAAAAAATAGTATGTGATGACACAAATAAAAACTATAACAGAATGCCTATGCACAAGGGGCCAAATTAAGTTTGCACACGCAAATGTAATCCCGTCATTGCCTAGCTTTTGAGTGCTTGACTTTGCAACCTTAAAAAAATAAATAAAAATGGAAAGACAGAAAATGTATCATGAGGAACCACAATGACCCTCCGTATCGATCACTAGCAAGGTCTGAGCTCAGAACCTGTGCATCCACAGCTCAGACCTTTGAGTTAAAATATACTTGATAGCGGTAATAGGCTATTAAGTATTCTTTATGTTTTAATTCAACAGTTTTGATTGATTACTTAAAGAAATGAAAATAAAATGCTATTGATTTTAACCTGTTAAAATTCATGGAGTTATTGAAGAGACAATGTCTGAAAAATGTTGGTCTGGTTGAAGGGGGGGAGCTATTAGTTTCATTTTACTAAAGGGGCTTTCAAAAGTTTTGGAACATTGCCCTAGGGCCTAGGCTTAAGGGACAGATGCTGAAACCTTGTCCTATCTACAGTTCAAGCTATGATGAATCACCAGAGAGCATTCTTAGGGTATTTCTACACTACAAAATTAGGTCGAATTTATAGAAGCCGGTTTTATAGAAATTGGTTTTATACAGTTGATTGTGTGTGTCCCCACATAAAATGCTCTAAGTGCATTAAGTCGGCGGACCGCGTCCACAGTACCGAGGCTAGCGTCGACTTCCGGAGCGTTGCACTGTGGGTAGCTATCCCACAGTTCCCGCAGTCTCCGCCGCCCATTGGAATTCTGGGTTGAGATCCCAATTTCTGATGATGCAAAAACAGTGTCGCGGGGGGTTCTGGGTACATGTCGTCAGGCCCCTTCCCCTCCGTCAGAGCAACGGCAGACAATCGATTCGCGCCTTTTTACCTGGGTTACCTGTGCAGACAACATACGGCAAGCATGGAGCCCGCTCAGCTCAGCTCACCATATGTCATCTGGGTGCCAGCAGACGTGGTACTGCATTGCTACACAGCAGCAGCTAATTGCCTTTTGGCAGTAGACGGTGCAGTATGACTGGTAGCCGTCATCGGCTATCTAGGTGCTGGCAGACGTGGGGCTGCATTGCTATACAGCAGCAGCTCCTTGCCTTTTGGCAGTAGATGGTGTATTACGACTGGTATCCATCGTCGTTGCAAAGGCCGATTTTAGCGCTAATCCCCTCGTCGGAGGTGGAGTAAAGAAACCAGTTTAAAGGGCCCTTTAAGTTGAAAAAAAGGGCTTCGTCGTGTGGACGTGTCCAGGCTTAATTCGATTTAATGCTGCTAAATTCGACCTAAACTCATAGTGTAGACCAGGCCTTAGGCTATATCCACACTTAAAATGCTGCACTACTAAAATGCTTAAGTGTAGGGGTTCTCCCGTCAGCATAGGTAATCCACCTCCCACCTCTTCCATTAACCTAGTGCTGTCTACACCAGGGGTTAGGTCGGTATAGCTGTCTCTCTCAGGAGTATATATATGTTTACACCCCTGAGAGACATAGCTATCCTGATGTGTAGACCAGGCCTCAGTGTAGATGAAGGTCAGTGGAGACCAGGGAGCATGCTCAGTGCTGATATATATACCTAGTTTTAACTGCACTGAGTACCTAGCTTTGACAAAATACCTAGTTTTGCCAAACTTCAGGTTTGGGAAAAAGCGTAACTGTTTTTGCTGAAACTTAAAAAACAAACAAAATTCTTAATAAATTTGTGATGAAGACATACAGCTTTAAAAAAAAAATTGAAGCAAAGTTATGTAAGAAAAAAGCTAAAAATTAAGGGTTCTTCATATATACATATAAAGAATCATCAATAAGGAATAGTCCATTTAAATTAGCCAAACATTTACAGCCTGATCAGTCCAATGGATCCACATGGATCATTTTTAAGGTTTGGGGTCTACAAGTTTTGGCTAGTGTTAGCAAACTGACTATCGCTTATTGAAGGCTATAGCCACATGTATTTACATCCACTACTCATATGCACATACACACATGCAGTGCAAAAGTGATCACGGTGATCCAGTGATTTCTACATGCCGTGCCAACCACTCTGCTCCACTTTCACATCTCCACTCAGCATTCAGCAAGAAACTGTTGTTAGGATGTGACAGTTGGCTTCCTTGAAACTGGTGCCAGTGGTCAAAAATTCTTTTCAACACAGGTCTGAAGTGTTTCATCAGGGCAGATGAGGGGGTAGGCAAAGAGTGAATCACCAGGGGGCGGCTGTTTACAGGCATTGTCGCCAACTCTCAGCAACTGCTGGTGAGATCTGATGCGCTTATTAAAACCCCTGCTATGTAATTACCTGAGCTCTGCTTCCATTTAATAAGACTCGTAATAACAGAAACACGAAACCATGGCCTGGTTGTACCCTAAAGGCTCAAAGGGAAATAAAAGGAACTCAACATTTACACTTCTAGAAACTCAACCAAGCAGGATTCTCTTCGTGGGCCTGACTTGGATTTGAAGCACTGAACTCCCTGCACGCTGGACTTCACTGTGGCTTTAAGCCCCTCACCCCTATTTTAGGCCCTCCCTTCTCACCACGTGGCCCCTTCTCTGAGCCCTTAGCCCCAGATTCCCCCTGACGCTCAGGGATCAGCACGCTGCTAGCCTGAAGCCTACTCCGGGCATGCTCAGTGGGAGCCCCGGCAGCCTGCCACGGCGCCCCGCCCCAGCCTAACCCGGATACACACGCTCCGCTGCCTTTCACCTCTGCTCGCCGGGGAACGTGGAGCCGGGAGCCAGCTGAGCAGCGAGAGACGCCGCCGGGCTCCCTGCGGTTCCATGCGGGCGGGCGCTGCCTGCGGGCCGCTGCCGGGCTGGGTGCGGGGCGGGCGGGCCGCTATGGAACGCTGGTGAGCGCCCGCCTTCGGCCCCCGAGAGCCCGCTCCGTGCCCGCCCCGCCGCCCCCGGCCATGGCCCCCATGGGGATCCGCCTCTCCCCGCTGGGGGTGGCCGTGTTCTGTCTGCTGGGCCTCGGCGTCCTCTACCACCTCTACTCCGGCTTCCTGGCCGGCCGCCTCGCCCTCTTCGTGCTGGGCGACCCGGCGGAGCGGGCCGGGGGCGGACCCGACCTTCCTCCGGGCCCCTTGCCCGAGGGCACCGTGGACCTGCGGGAGCTGCTGGCCGTGTCCGTGCTGGCCGCCGTCAAGGGGGGTGAGGAGGTGAAGCGCGTCCGGGAAAGCAACGTCCTCAACGAGAAGGCGAAGGGCAAGACCCGCGAGGGGGCCGAGGAGAAGATGACCAGCGGGGACGTGCTGTCCAACCGCAAGATGTTCTACCTGCTCAAGAACACCTTCCCCAGCGTGCAGGTGGGTCCCACGCCCGCCCCCTGAGCCCCTGGTCAGGGGCCCCTTCCCTTCACAGAGTGAGCCACGTGTCTCTCAAACCCCCCTCTGCATAGCTGAACAGCAGCCCCCCCCCCAATGGGAATCTCTTCCCTGGCACCGCCTCCTTATCCAGCACACCCGTCCCTGATCATAAATCATTTGAACCGGTAACTCAGTATACTGTAACGGCAACTTTCTGTTTGTTTAAACTGGGTGGCACCTGAAATACTTTGTCAGTGATTCTCAATCTTTTCCTTGCCAGGATCCTCTCATGCTAAGGTCTGAGCTGCACCCAAGCTTTGTACCGGTATAACTCTTTCAGTTAGGGATGTGATTTTTATGTTTTCTTGTAATGGTTGTCCTAGTGTAATGCCGACCCCAGTTGTCATCTGCATAAAATCTGGGACCTCTGGAGCTTAATGCATGAGCTAAAAGACACATCTCTCTTGGCCAGTGTAACAAGCTCATCAATTCTAGTCACAAGAGGGGGATAGAGTGCCACACCAAGCAGGCCTGGGTTACACTAGGTCAGTAGTTCTCAAACTTTTTTTATTGGTGATCCCTATCACGTAGCAAGTCTCTGAGTGCGACCCCCCCCCCCGGTAAATTAAAAACACTTTTTTTATATTTATTTGACACCATTCTAAATGCTGGAGGCAAAGCGAGGTTTGGGGTGGAGGTTGACAGCTTGTGACCCCCCATGTAATAACCTCGTGACCCCCTGAGGGGTCCCGACCCCCAGTTTGAGAACCCCTGCACTAAGTACAACCCATAGTGTAGATGCAGTTACACTATTATAAAGATGTCTTGTACGAGTATAGTTTATTCTCTTTCCTATGTGGGATTAGGTGTACTAGTATGAGGTATCTTTATAGTGGTATAACTGTGTCCACGCTACAGGTTTATGTTGCTTGAACTATTTCAGTGCAGTTAAAGCAGCACAACTTTGTAGTGTAGAAAAGACCTTAGCAATACAGTATAAGAAGAGCAGGACACCTTATTGTGATCCCCAGACTGAGAACCCATGTTTTAGACAAATATAGTTAAACTGCGAACAGTAAGCACGTTAATATGAAACTTCCAGTTTTAATACATTCTGCCCCAAAGTGCTATAAAGACTTTTGTCTCTCAGTAGGTTGAATGAAAAGAGGCATATTATACATCTGAATTGCAGGGATTGGGGTGGAGTTGGGAAATAAAAATTTTGTTTACATATTTTGACATAACTAGCGTAAGGTAGCACCACGTACTACCTTACATGTGTTGTCATAGGCTGATAAGAAAAAGACAACATGGATATGTCAAGAACAAATCATCCCAAACCAACCTAATTCTTTGACAGGGTTATGGCCTAGTGGAGGATGGGGGGCAGCTGTAGACCTGATAGATTTTGATTTTAGTGAGGCTTTTGACACCGTTCAACATGACATTCTCATAAGCAAACTAGGGAATGTGGTCTAGGTGAAATTACTATATAGTGGTGCACAAGTGGCTGAAAAGCTGTACTCTCAGATTAGAGTGGTAGCCGTGTTAGTCTGTATCAGCAAAAACAATGAGGAGTCCTTGTGGCAATTTAGAGACTAACAAATTTATTTGGGCATAAGCTTCCGTGGGCTAGAACCCACTTCTACCAATGTGATATATGCCATCATGTGCCAGCAATGCCCCTCTGCCATGTACATTGGCCAAACCGGACAGTCTTTACGCAGAAGAATAAATGGACACAAATCTGACACCAGGAATCATAACATTCAAAAACCAGTAGGAGAACACTTGAATCTCTCTGGTCACTCAATAACAGACCTAAAAGTGGCAATTCTTCAACAAAAAAACTTCAAAAACAGACTCCAACATGAAGCTGCAGAACTGGAATTAATTTGCAACTGGATACCATCAGATTAGGCCTGAATAAAGACTGGAGTGGTTGGGTCTTTACAAAACCTAAACTTAATTTCCCCAATACTAATTTCTCCCTACTGTCACTCACACCTTGTCATTTGTCTGTAATGGGCCACTCTCTTACCATTTCAAAAGTTATTTTTCCTCCCTTGGTATCCTGCTGTTAATTGATTTATCTCATTAGACTGACCTCACACTTGGTAAAGCAACCCCCATCCTTTCATGTATTTATACCTGCTCTTGTATTTTTCACTTCATGCATCTGATGAAGTGGGTTCTAGCCCATGAAAGTTTATGCCCAAATAAATTTGTTAGACTCTCAGATTAGTTGTCCATGGTTGCCTGTCAAACTGGAAGGGTGTATTTAGTGGTGTCCTTTAGAGGTCTGTCCTGAGTCCAGTACTAATCAATATTTTCATTTAATGACTTGGATAATGGAGTGGAGAGCATGTTTATAAAATTTGCTTATGACACCAAGCTGAGAGTGATTGCAAGCACTTTGGAGGACAAGGTTAGAAATCTAAACAACCTTAAGAACGTTAGAATAGCTACAGCAATGGTCCATCTAGCCCAGTATCCAGTCTTCTGACAGTGGACAGTGCCATATGCTTTAGAATGAATGAATGGAACATGGCAATTATTGAGTGATCCATCGCCTGTCCTTCAGTTTCAGCTTCTGGCAGTCAGAGGTTTAGGGACACCCAGAGCATGTGGTTGCATCCCTGACCATCTTAGGTCCATCAATGACTATTATTCATCACCCATGAATTTATCTAATTCTCTTTAGAGTCCAGTTATACTTTTGGCCTTCACGATTTTGAGAGGTTGACTGTTGTGTGAAGAAGTACTTCCTTTTGTTTGTTTTAAACCTGCTGACTATTAATTTCATTGGATGACCCCTGGTTTGTGTGTTATGTGAAGGGGTAAATAACACTTCCTTATTCACTTTCTCCACACCATTCATGATTTTGTAGACATTTATAGTATCAACCCCCATTAGTCGTCTCTTTTCTAAGCTGAACAGTGCCAGTCTTTTTAATTTTTGTTGCCCTTCCCTATATTGTACTTTTTCCAATTACAAGATATCTTTTTTGAGGTGGGGCAACCTGAACTGCATGCGGTATTCAAGGTGAGGGCATGTCATATATTTACATAGTAGCATTATGATATTTTCTGTTTTATTATCTCTGCTTTTCCCAATAGTTCCTAACATTCTGTTAGCTTTTTTGACTGCTGCTGCAACATGAGCAGATGTTTTTAGAGATCTATCCACAATGACTCCAAGTTTCAGAGTAGCAGCCGTGTTAGTCTGTATCCGCAAAAAGAACAGGAGTACTTGTGGCACCTTAGAGACTAACAAATTTATTAGAGCATAAGCTTTCGTGGGCTACAACCCACTTCTTCGGATGCATATTGAGTGAAACATATCGAGGAGATATATATACACACATACAGAGAGCATGAACAGGTGGGAGTTGTCTTACCAACTCTGAGAGGCCAATTAAGTAAGAGAAAAAAAACTTTTGAAGTGATAATCAAGGTAGCCAAGTACAGACAGTTTGATAAGAAGCAAGTGTGAGAATACTTACAAGGGGAGATAGATTCAATGTTTGTAATGGCTCAGCCATTCCCAATCCCTATTTAGCCCTGAGTTGATTGTGTCTAGTTTGCATATCAATTCCAGCTCAGCAGTCTCTCGTTGGAGTCTGTTTTTGAAGTTTTAGCCTAATGACTCCAAGATCTTTCTTGAGTGGTAACAGCTATTTTAGACCCCATCATTTTGTGTGTATAGTTGGGATTATATTTTCCAGTGTGCATTACTTTGTCGCCCAGTCACCCAGTTTAGAGAGATCCCTTTGTAACTCTTTGCAGTCAGCTTTGGACATAACTATATTGAGTAATTTTGTATTGTCTGCAGACTTCGCCACCTCACTGTTTACACTTTTCCAGATCATTTATGAATATGTTTACCAGCACTGGTCCCAATACAGATCCTTGGGGGACCCTACTATTTAATTCTCTCCACTATGAAAACTGACTATTTATTCCTACCTTTGTTTCCTATCTTTTAATCAGTTACTGATTCATGAAAGGACCTTCCCTCTTATCCCATGACAGCGTACTTTGCTTAAGAGCCTTTGGGGTGGGACCTTGCCAAAGGTTTCTGAAAGTCCAAGAACACTATATCAACTGAATCACCCTTGTCCAGGTGCTGGTTGACAAAGAATTGTAATAGATTGGTGAGGCATGATTTCCCTTTACAAAAGCCATGTTGTCTCTTCCCCAATATATTGTGTTCATCTATGTGTCTGATAATTCTGTTATTTAGCACAGTTTCAACCAATTTGCCTGGTACTGAAGTTAGGCTTACCTGCCTGTAATTGCCTCTGGAGCCTTTTTTAAAAATTGGTGTTATATTAGCTACCCTCCAGACGTTTGGGTACAGAGGCTGATTTAAGCGATTAGATACATACCACAGTTAGTAGTTCTTCAATTTCACACGAGTTCCTTCAGAATTTTTGGGTGAATACCATCTGGTCCTGGGAACTTATTATTGTTTAATTTACCAGTTTGTTCCAAAATCTCCTTTGATACCTCAATCTGAGACAGTTCCTCATATTTGTCAGCTAGAAAGAATGGTTTAGGTGTGGGAATCTTCCTCGCATCTTTGGAGTGAAGACCTTAGTAAGTTGGAGAATAAGTCTGAAATAAACAAGATGAAATTCAATAAAGACAAGTACAAAGTATTACACTTACAAAGGAAAAATCAAATGCACAGCTACGTGGGTGGTGGGTAGAATAGGCCAGGGGTCGGGGCTGTCCTGCCGCCCGGCCCCACACCATAACTCCGAAGCTTCTCCCCCTCTTCAAAATTAGTATTTATTTGTTGTTCTTCAAACCTCTCCACTTTTGCCTTGGTAACTAGCTAACACATCACAGTATTACCTAAAACTTCATATACTTAGTTTAGGGAATGCTATACTAACATTTAGTTACCTTAGGCAACTTTTTTTAGGGGTAACTAATGGCTATATGGAATGAACTCCTGGGGGACTTCAGTCATGTCTCTTCTACCTGCACAA